AAAGGGGGGACATTTACATGTTCTTATGCACAGTAGAATTGAAAATGCGTTGATTCAACGACATCATGGTTATAACTGTGTCTGAACTGCAACCGGAAACTGTTGCTTTTTCTTTCCTATCCTTAGTATCGTTATTTTGCCTCTAATTCTTTTGTATGTTTGACACACTCTTGAGACCCACTATTTCCGGGGTGCCTTGATAGTCGAAGCAGATTTTATGCTGTTGAAGCTATGGAGGAGGCAGAGTAAGCCTGATTCCCTGTATGGACTTCTCTGTTGACATCCACCCCTTGGCGCTCATATGACCTTATGCAGTTGCGAGCGCCGTAATAATTCTACTAAAACTAAAACAGATGGGTTTGGGATGTTTTGAAGAGCGTCAACAACCACACTTCACTTGCTTTTATCTCTGTGTGTCAAGCTTTTCTTCCTGCACAACTGACCGTTGTCACGTCTAAGAGTAGTTTCGATTCCCGTGGCTGTGCTTGGAGAGGTACTGAAAGAGCTGCGGAGCTGGCCTACAATGAAAACTGCATCTCCCCTTCGACGCTTAACGGCAGCAGAGGATGAAAAAGAAAAGAAAAAGAAGAAGAAGTTTGAAGAGGTATCATGGCCCTATTTTGCTCTTGTTTCAGATTAGATTTCATTTCACGTTGACATAACATGCTAATTCCGGAGCAAGATTTCTCGATGACGCTATTTATTTCGCCTTTGTTCTCGTTTTGGCGGTGCTGTATTTTTTATGGTGATGTATGCGTATACAAAAACCCACATTATGGCAATATATGTGAGCTGTTGTGATGAAATCAGGCGCTCGTCAAAATATTGAAATAAGAGATACCGACATTTTTCTTGCAGTATGCTATTTTTTTTCAAATTTTATTTTTTGTCTCAAAAAGTTTTATGTCTTAACAAAAGCACACATCTGTGTGGATTTATTTTGAAAAACGTTAATCTAAATAACAACAAAAATTGAAAATTTCTACTTTCGACACCAAGCGACCCCCACCTCCTTCAATGGCAAATATCCAAACTTCTATTTCAGATAAACTGGTATTTTTAAAAATCAAATGCAAGGCAAATGAAACGGCTTTAAGACGATACCAATTACTCCATGTGCTCAAAAATTGACGAGCACCTGATTCCACCGTGTAGTGACACATATGTCGTCCCATTCTCTGGGGAGCTTTTCTACGTTCGTCTCGTGTCGTGCTCTGATTTCCATGAGCGCGCGCGTGTCGCAGCCTCAGTTTGTGTTATAAATGCCTCGGGCGCTCAATCGAGAGTTAGCGGAAAGTGGTCTCCAACAACTGTCGCGGTTTCCTTCTCCACTCGTCCCCCTCCCCTTCCTCCCTCCACCCCCCCCCCAAACACTTGTTGTCCGGGCGACAGAATAATTCTACAGCGAGTCACAGCACAGAATGAGGCATAATGCAGACGGTGATAAAACAAATTCTGTAAATGTTTTATGCCCTCCCCCAAAAAAACAACAGCAACAACAAACACCCTCCCCCCTCCACCTACCACAGGTAAGGAGAAAGGCAGGGGGACTGCAATAAATAGATAAAATGAAAGAAAGAGAGAGAGAGAAGAAAAAAAGAGTATTTTTCTTTTCTGCTTTGGATGATATTAGATCGAGACAATGGGGAGCACAAAAACTCCCCCCCCCCCCCCCCCCCAAAAACACACCAAAAAAACGAATGTTTTTTTTTAACGAACCCCCGCCCCACTGGCTTAGGTCAAGGCGTTGTTAGCTCTGACCGTAACTATGTGAACGAGCCCAGGCTGTATGAGATGCAGTATCTCAGCACAGAGACAAAATAGTATCATTACCCACTCAGGAACCGAATCGAACTCACGCTAACTGCGTACGACGGCATAGATTCTAACCTCTCCATCAGACACCGGTGAAGGGGCCGAAGATGCTGGCTTGCTGTAACTGTTTCATTCAGGCATTGGAGGAGTCCCTCTGCCTTTTATTGGACAGGAACATCAGAGGTACACTGTATACAGCACCTTCACAGAAAGACGGATACGGTTGTTTGTTTGTCTTTTTCAAATGATTTCTTAAATGTTCGAAAGAAGTAAAGTTTTGTACGTGGAACAATGTCGAGGAATCTTGCCACTACAGCACCGACGCCGGTTCAAAGATTACACTTATTTCAGAATCCTTATGTGTGGACATCCAACAGCGTGTCAGGTACACTTGACCAAGTCATGTAAAACAATGAAACCTTTCATTGCATATAAATCAGAAAACAAAATCCACTGGAAAAAATGCCAGACTTTTGAAGCTGTTTTATAAAAAGATAAAGCTTCGCTGGACTCTCTGCGTTCACATTTAGTAACGCTTTTTGTCGGCGTCATAGTACCATTGTCACGTAATAGAGCATTACGGAGGAGAGACTATCGTTTGTCTGAATGTACATTATTTTTTAAGGTAGAGTACAGAAAGAAACCAGAAAAGAAGCAAAGCAATTTAAAAAATGACTGCTTAATTTCCATAATTAGCAAGGGCGTTCTGCTCCGTCAAAACAACCTCCTCGGGGAATCCTGAAATTGAACATAAGAGTGTAGCTGTGTCAACCACTGTTCCGCCTGTCCCCCTTCCCACGTCTGTGACTCCTACAACTTACAACATACTCCTACCTGTCCAAAAGTGTTGTTAGGGACGTCAAACCTTTAAGTACGGACGTACTTGTCTGTATTAGCTGTCCGCGCGAGACAAGTTTTGTTGCTGGGTCCTCCATACATCTGAGAGAAGACTACGTCATCATTTTTGTTTTGTTATGTCTGGTCTGTGCGTGAAACAGAGCGTGAACGCTGTAGGGTGTTTGCGTGGTGCTGTTGTTGTTGCTGCTGCTGTTGATGGTGCTGGTGGTTGTGGTGGTTGTGGTGGTTGTGGTGGTGATGGTGAGTTCTTATTTTCTGACCGTGGGAACTATACTGAGTCAGGAGAAAGCCCAGGGCGTCACTTGTTGGGTGTAAAATACCGGGCAAGACATATTATGTGCATTTTTTTTTTATTGTCGAACCCCCCACTTCCAAATTCAATAGATACTATACGTGTAGAATAATATACATTATACCCACATGATCACCACTATGAAAAATGATCAGAATTGCATTTTGGGGAACACTGATAGAAATTGGTTTTGTCACAGTTGTCTGAACAAGTTTTGTGAGCCAGATGTTGGTGTAGAGTTGTTCAACAACTGCTCCTGCCAAAGGCATTAATTCAATAACATCGAGTCTGTGACTTTTTGAAAAAGTGTGCTCTGTGTATAGTACACTTTTATGGTAGGAGTTTATCAATGCCTGTTATAACACAATAAGGTCGTTTTAGAGAAATGAGCTCTGAATTAACCTTACATTCCCGATAGGAGAAATAAACATCATTACACATTTAAAAAAAAACCACACAAGGGTATTCTGATGACAAACATTTATGAAAAAAGAAAAAAAGGTACTAAGGAACTACTAGGCACTACCAAAGCATAGACCTGGAATGAACGCACGATCATCAAACAATTAATTGACTGTTCGTTTTACACAGGTGCAAAGGAGAAAAAGGGGGGGGGGGGGTCTCTGCAGCTGGTTAACCCTTCTCTGCATCTTTTGAAAAAAAACAACGTTTTACAACAATCCATACAAGTAAGAATATTAGTAAGACTCATTCACGGTTCTTTGGATATAATGACAAACATCTGTTCCAATCGCAGATGAGTATCACAATTTGGCCATATGCGTTAATTGGGTGTGGGGGGGGGGGGGGGGGGACTCACTGAGGACGCACATTCTGGCGAATCGACGCCGGAAGATGAAGGTGCGCTAGTTGTTTTTTTTTGTATGTTTGTTGTTGTTTTGTTTTGTTTTTGTTTGTTTTGTTTCTTTTGGTGGGTTTTTGTTTGTTTTGTTTGTTCGACAAACAAAAAATCATGACTTCGTTATTGGCAATCCTTTTTTAAAATTCAGTTTTCTTTATCAGAAAGTTTAAGAGGTGGGCAACAGCTTGGACATTTTTGTTCTTACTTTGCGAGTCGTATATGGGTTTGACACGATACGTGTCGAATAGAATTTGGTCTCCTGCTGATCGGAGATGTGCCTGCAACTCCCTTAAAGGGTTAATTAAGGTTCTTTTCTCGGCTTCGTTTAATCTTAACTCAAGATTATTGCTCATTTGGGACAGTTTGGGCTTGTGACGAAACAACCAGAGAAACTGGATGAAGCAACGGTGTTAGGACTCAAGCTTAGTCGCAGTCAAAGCGGGGAGTTGATGTTTTCAAGGTCGAATAACATTCCTACACCAGATCAGCTGAGAGAACGAATGACGAAGAGAGAAGTGTTCTCTTTGTCTGGAAAATTAGTTGGACATTATCCTGTGGTTGGATAGCTGCGTGTTGCGTGTAGCTATATTAAACGTCGAACGGATGGCTACCGATGGGATGATTTTGCGGGAGAGACAGCATGCATGATGCTAAAAGAGGTACTTGACCGGATGCATTGAGAAGATCCTGTCAAAGGCAAATGGAAGGTGCCGAAGGAGACCAAGGGCAAAATCTGGGGCGATGCGAGTGATATGGCCCTATGTGCGATTGTGGAGATAGGAGGGGTGATTGTAGAAGACGCAGATGGGTTGCGTAAACGCGATGATTTCAACCACATCAACGTGGCGGAGTTGTAGGCAACACTGAAAGGTGTTAATATGGGCGTGCAATGGGGGTTGAAAGACATGACCATCGAGACAGACTCAGCTACAGTGTGGGGCGTTAAACCTATACAATTTCACCATTTCACAGTGTGTGGATGGATCAAGTCGACGACGTCGGAAGATAAGAGAGTAAGAACCAAGGGTGCAGCAGAAGTTTGGGTGAAAAGACAATTGGGTGTCTTGAAGACTTTGTTGGAGGTGCTGAAACTGAGAATAGAGGTCGTCTGTGTAATGTCGAGTGCCAACGAAGCTAACGAACTGACAAGGGTTAAGAAAGAGTGGTTTTAAAATGAATGAGTTGCCGGAAAAGACGGTCGAATTTGCTGCCGCTGGTTTTGACTTGAGGGATTTACACAATCAACATCATTTTGGGGTTGAACAATCGTTGTACTTAGCAAGACAAGTGAATCCAGAGGTAAGGAAAGCCGAAGTCAGGAAGGTGGTGAGAGAATGTGAACGATGCCAGTCGATCGACCCTGCCAGCAGCATTCATGAAGCTGGTGATCTTGGCGTGGAAAAAGATCGGGTGAGACTGGCCATCGACGTCACTCATTACAGGGGTCTGGCCTACCTATCAATGATCGATTGTGGTCCTGGAAGGTTTGCAATTTGGATAAAGATGACAACTGAAGGGTCACTCGCTGTAGGGAAAGAATTGGAACAGGTTTTCTTTGAACGGGGCCCAGTCGAAGAAATCTTGATGGACTATGCAATGGTAATGGATGAATTGTTAAAGAAATGGGATATAGCTCCGTTCTATCGAGCTGCATACAGGGTGAATGGGAATGGAATCGTCGAGAGACATCACCGCACATTAAAAGCTATGTCAGAGAGGGGACAGATTACGCCAGCAGAGGCAGTGTTTTGGTACAATATCTCACCCAGGAATGGCCAACGGGTTTGCCACTGTACCACACATGTCAGTGCACTGCTACAAGTGGAGAAACCCGAACGAGAAGCCTTGGTGGGGTGAGAAACAAGAAGGGCAGGCTGTTGTGAGGTTCGGAGATGAGGTATGGGTGAAACTGCCGTCAGCGAAATGCACAGAACAGTGGAGCAGAGGGCAGATCACTAAGGTAAACACCAGCAATAACATCATGGTGAATGGAATGCCTCGCCACCTAGACGGTCATATAATTTATGATTTATGATCGCCTAGCTCGCCACATATTGAACGTGAAGTCTGTATTGGTGGAAAGGCAAGCCGAGCATCGCTTTCCTCGACGGGAGCGGCGTAGTCCTGCATGGACACAGGATTACGAAATGTAGAGCCGAATTGACAAACGAAGAGAAGTGGGGGTGGAGGTGTGTATAAATGTTCTGGAGTTGTTGTCGCAACGTTTGCTTTGAGTTTTGACATTCTCCAACGTACTTACTCGTTTTTTGAATGATAATTTTTATCTGCAGATTAGGGGGGGGGGGGGCGTGTAGGTTGTTTTTGGACGAGTCGGAAACGTGCGTATTAAGTTGTCATGTGTGTGGTGTGCAGCAAAAGTGTGAGCGAGAATGCACTCCCGTCGAGAAGCGGAATTGCATATGAGTGAACTGTGTTGCTAGCGTGAGACGGTTGTGGTTAGTCTGGTTAGACACCGGCCGGTGGTTAGTGTGTGTGGACTGTAAAAATTCGTACAAGAGGATCTATAGCTGAAGAAGAATATCTCCGTGGCCTGACGTGTGTATACGTAAGAACCAGCGATCTTGTTACAATGATTATTGGTTTTTTTTGTGGTAGTAGTAGTAGTAGTAGTAGTAGTAGTAGTAGTAGTAGTAGTAGTAGTAGTAATAATAGTAGGAGCAGTAGTAGCAGCAACAGCAGCAGCAGCACCAACAGTAGTACTGTAGTAATACGACAGAAGTCAGACGACACTGCACCTCCCTAACATTCGCACACATGATTCACATTAAAACAACCAAGTAAGCTTATATCTACATGCCATTCATCATCATAATCCGGAGCCTTGCCGACTGACGTGGGCGATCATGGTCCTCCATGGTGTCTGTTGTTCTTGCTGCTCCTAGCCATGTAGTCATCTTGCCCATTATCTTTTCCCTCTGTATACCTCTGCCTCTCTTTCCACCAAACTTGCCTTTTGTTACAATATTCTCCATTGCTTCCTTCCGCATTATTTGTCTGAAGAAATTGGTCTGTCGCTTTCTTATATTCGTCAAAAGCTGTCTTCTACAATTTTCTTCAACCAAGACTTCTTCGTTTGTTTATCTAGCTGCCTCTCGGGATACGTAGCTTGCGTCTTAAGAACCAAAACTCTGTCCTACAGGCCATTATTAACCCCCAAAATGTTTCTTTATCTCCAGGCTCTTTGACATGCCCCACCCTGGTTTTCCAATACGCTGCTGTGTCTGTGAACAACGGGACTGCCACAGTGGACTGTCATGGGGGCTACTTTGTCCAGCCAGGGGTGACCACCCAGACAGCTCAATGTTTCGGCCACCAGTGGAACAGCACGCTCGTTGATTGTCAACGTAGGTTATCTATCTAATAATTCGCCAGCAAGCCGTTATAATATACTAATCGAAGAAAGTAAGATTCTACTAGAGAAAGAAAAGAAAAAAAAACCGTTTCATTCTTTTGTTCATTGTATGTATATTATGTACTTTTTCTTGCCCCCCCCCCACCCCCTCCCGAAAAAGACCCACTTAGAATTGGAATTTCGATCAAATATTTCTTGAGCACATGCAAACAACACCACGGGTTAAGAAATTGGGGAGGAGGGGGGCAAAATTAGAAGAAATAACTTCTCCCCCCCAAAAAAAAACAAAAACAACTACAACAAAGAAACAAACACAAACCTCACAAAATGTTGGGCCAAATCTTCTGTAACATCTGACTGATGAATTGCAGATGTAGATTGCTTGTGAGCGCATATCAACACAATTGAAATCATTTAGGAGGCGTGCTGCTTAGGTCTGGGTGAGCCGGGGCAGAGAGGGATACAGTGTTGTAGCAGAGAAAGATACAGGGTTGTAGCAGAGAGGGATACAGGGTTGTAGCAGAGAGAGGGATACAGGGTTGTAGCAGAGAGGGATACAGCGTTGTAGCAGAGAGGGATACAGGGTTGTAGCAGGGAGAGATACAGGGTTGCAGCAGAGAGGGATACAGGGTTGTAGCAGAGAGAGATACGGGGTTGTAGCAGGGAGGGATACAGCGTTGTAGCAGAGAGGGATACAGGGTTGTAGCAGAGAGGGATACAGGGTTGTAGCAGAGAGAGATACAGTGTTGTAGCAGAGAGAGATACGGGGTTGTAGCAGGGAGGGATACAGCGTTGTAGCAGAGAGGGATACAGGGTTGTAGCAGGGAGAGATACAGGGTTGTAGCAGGGAGAGATACAGGGTTGTAGCAGAGAGAGATACAGGGTTGTAGCAGAGAGAGATACAGGGTTGTAGCAGAGAGAGATACAGGGTTGTAGCAGAGAGAGATACGGGGTTGTAGCAGGGAGAGATACATCGTTGTAGCAGAGAGAGATACGGGGTTGTAGCAGGGAGAGATACAGCGTTGTAGCAGAGAGAGATACGGAGTTGTAGCAGAGAGGTGGAGTAGTATAATAATAGCATAATAATAATATATGCACTAAAAATAATAGGTGTCACGACATGGTGGGATCAGGCGCTCGTCAGTTTTGAGGTGTACGGAGTTATTGATATCATCTTAAAGCCTGTCCATTTGCCTTCCTTCTGATGAAAGCACATCTATGCTGAATAGACACTTTACACGAATTTTCCTCACTTCACCCAGGCGGGAATGGGTACCCGGCCATAGACAGCGAAATATATTGTCAGTATATTAGCGTTTTCGCGCCTATAAATGGCTGCTTGCACTGTATGCTTCATTGGAAGTTGAGTTTGTTTCAGAATGCTCTCAGGTCTGCTGGGGTAATAGTATAGATTGTGAAGCGCATAGAGATTGCTGTTGAGTAGGGATTTGCGCTATACAAATGCTATCTTATTATTATCTTATTATTTCTTGATGAAAGAAAAATAACCTACAGACACAGTACGTTACCACAGAATTACAAAGTTCTATCTGACATTTACGGCCGCTTTGAGTTACTAAGACCGTGAGTTCAGAGAGCAAAACCTGCTCCGTCACAATCGTAAGACAATGAACAGTCGTTATCAAGATAATATTCAAAGAATTGCGTTTTAAAAAAGCTTGACATACTGTGAAACTCCAAAATTTTGACGTCAAATTGCCTCAAAACTAGGTATTGAGCAGATATAATTTTGTAATTCTGGGGAAGCGGGCAATCCAACTCATGACATATGTTTGCGACGACGAGCGCCTACCTCGGTGTCCATGATTAAAGAAAAAAACTTGGATACAATACGGATTGTTTAATGTTTTGAAAAACAACTCTAATAAACAGAAAAGCGAGAGGGCGAGTTAAAAGAAAAGGACAGTAAGAAAGTGGGACCAACAAGTCGCGACACTAGAATTACAGAGTTGTATCTGCTCAGAAACTAGCTTTGAGATATTTGAAATTAAAAGCTTTGAGTTTCACAACATGGCGCTCATATGACCTTACGCAGTTGCGAGCGCCGTAAAACCCTCTATTATAAAAAAAATAATGGTCAAGTTTTTCGAATGAAATTCTTTGAATATCTTGCTAACCTCTCCGAATAATCTTACTATTTTGAGAGAGCAAATAGAACATTTGCTTTCTAACTGTATGGTACTAGTAACTCAAACCTACCAAAAATGTCAGATAGAACTTTGCAATTCTCAGGTAGCGATGTGGCACCTTTCAACCCCATGTGGACTTATATTTGTAGTATACTACGAGGGTCGTTTAAAAAGTTTTGCCTCCAGTCCAACTTTATATTTCTTTATTACTGATGCTACATACAAAAGTTATACACTAAATGAAAGCTTAGGATGTCTGCTACATGACAGTACTTTTACTTTTCAACACAATTGCCTTCTTTGTCGATGCAGATCCGACAACTTCGAATAAGTTGTCGCATGCCGTCGGCGAAAAATTCATGTGGTTTTCCTCTGAACCAGCGGCACACATATTCTTGAATTTCATAGTCATCTTCATGAAGTTTTTCTTTGAGGTACTCCTTCAACTTAAGAAAATGATAAAAGTCAGATGGAGCAAGGTCTGGACAGTATGATGGATGCGGTAAGGTCTCTTGAAATCTGAGACTTTTCACGGCATCTTGAGTTTGTCGACTTGTGTGTGGACGGGCGTTGTCGTGGTGCAAAATTGCATTTTTTTTTCAAGCCGCACTCGTGACAGCCGTGCTCTAAGTTTTCTCAGGATCTCAATGAATCGTTCAGAGTTGATAATGGAACTCTGTTCCAAAGATTCCATATGAATCAGACCATCACAGTCCCAAAACACTGTCATAAGAACTTTCTTTGCAGATGAAACAACTTTTAACTTCTTGGGGCTTGGTGAGCCAGTGTGCCTGTATTCTTTCCATTGTCTTTTGTTCTCTGGGTCAATATGGTGTACCCAAGTCTCCTCTCCTGTGACTATACGGCGTAAGAAAGCTTCACCTTCATCGTTATAACGAGCCAGGAGTTCATCACTAACTTTACTTCGGTTCAATTTCAGCTCGGGTGACACCATGTGGGGAACCCACCGTGCACAAACTTTCCTGTAACCAAACACATTATGGATAATATACTGAGCACTCCCTACAGAAACGCATAGCATTTCACTGACATCTCTTACTTTGATCCGCCGGTTTGCTTGGATGATTTCATCCACTCTCTCGTGGTGTTGAACATCACTGGCATAGTTGGGACTTCCTCATCAAGCTTGGTCATGCAAATCCGTCTCTGCTGGACTGGTTTCAGCGAACTCCTTTGCCCATCTTCGAACAGTACTTACATCTACCCATGCCTCACCATAGACAAGCTTCATTCGCCTATGAATATCAATGGGTGCAGCTCCCCGTGCAGTAAGAAACTCAATAACAGCTCTTTGCTTTAAGCGCCCAGTCATAGGTTTGCTGGACGCCATTTTCTCGGCGACAATGTACCTTAGCTTCCATGATGTAAACAACAATAGCATAAAGGTGTGACATCATAGCATAATTTTTGGTCGGGATTTGAGATTATACATATTGAAAGTCAATTGTGTACAAATTTCATGAAGATATCTTGAATAGTTTAGAAGTTATTGGAGAGGAGGCAAAACTTTTTGAACGACCCTAGTAATTATACGGCTGAAAACTGTACTAAGCTCATGCAAAATAACAGATGTCTTTTTAAGAATTAATGTGTTACTTGATATTACAAACACTTCATTGGAAAAACCTTGAGTTGTGAAGCATTTCTTACACCCGTTAACCATTCAGTACGGTATAATTGTAAAACAGTGATAGCCTTGTCTCCCTTCTCCATCCATCCTCAGCCATTGACTGCGGTCCCTCGGAAAGTAATACAAACATGATTGTGACGTATGAAAGATCAACTCTTGGAACCACAGAGTATGGCCAAGTCGCCTGTGAGTAACGGATGACGGTAGTTAATCTCCCC